CCATTATTATTTCAAATGAAAATTCCTAATTTATCAGTTAAATATTTTTAATATACATTGTTTTATGTTCAAGTGTAAAACCAACGAATCTCCAGTTTCTTTTCATAATCTACATACCTTAAAGGATAAAAAAAAATATGACTTAAGAAATGATAAGGTAATTCGGCAACCTTTATCTTTAAATAATTTTGGAAAGTTATGTATTTCATATCGAGGAGCTTTTCTTTGGAACAAAATAGTTTTTAAAAATTTTGATTTTTCCCATGAATGGAATTATCGTTCATTCAAGAAAAAATAAAAGAAATTGTTTTATCTTTTGAAGACATATTTTTATATTTTTAAATTCTTCTAAAAATTAATATGAAGTTTATTACATAAGGTAATATATAAATATTATATCTGATAAAAACAGTACTTCTTAAAATATTTTTGTATTTATACAGTATTGGACAAAACATTTGCAACCATTATTGAACAATGCTAAAAAGTGTTCCTAATTTTACATGTCTTAAAAACGAAACGAACTATACTACCACAGCAAACAGTTCAGGAGTCTGGAGTCATAGCATGCCATGACATGAGCAATTAGCTGACAAGTGACAGCACACTAGCAGAATTTCGTTGATAAGTGCCATTTTGCAGCGGACAAAACAAGTCCATCTTTTTTGGTTTGTTTCATTTTCTTAAGTCTGGTCCGTGTCAACGTCACGTAAGTTTTTTAATAATTAAAGAAAGCATCCAGAAGTTTCCAGAAGAAGCATCTGAAAGCGTCCAGAAGCATCCAGAAGTATCCAGAAACATTCAGAAGCATCCAGACGCATCCAGAAGCTTCCAGAAGCATCGAAAAGTATTCCTGTATTTGACCGAACAATTAGACGACGTGCTGTTGAAGCAGGATTGTTTTCTCGACGCCCTGCAAAGAAACCGCTGATTTCACTAAAGAACCAGAAGAAAAGACTCCTGTTTGCTACATTTCATATTGACTGGAATTTGCAGAAATGGCGATCTGTCCTGTTCAGTGATGAATCGAAGTTCAACATCATTGGGAGCGATGGCATTTGCCATGTACGTCGACCGGCCGGAAAACGCCTCGATTTACGTTACTGCTATAAGACCGTGAAGCATGGCGGAGGCAATGTAACGGTCTGGGAGTGTTTTTTTGCTAACAGTAAGGTCCAATACATCGAAACGATGAAATAATGGACCGTTTCATGTATAAAAATATCCTGAAAGATGTTATGTTACCTCATGCTGAATGAAATATGCCAATAAAATGAGTTTTTCAGCAAGGCAACGATCCAAAACACACTGCAAAAGTAGTCAAGCAGTGGTTTCAAGACAACCACCTATCGGTGATGGATTTGCCGCCTCAATCTCCAGAATTAATCGTGAAGGTATTCGTAATAAGGATCAACTGTTTGAACAAATCCAAAGGCCTGGGCAGCAATTCCACAACGTTTCATTGATCACCTGATTTAATCTATGCCTCGAAAATGCAAGGCAGTGATCGACAACAAAGGTTTCGCCACGAAATATTGATAGCGAAATATAGCTTGGTCAACATTTTGTGGAGTTGCACTTGTTTTGTCCAGAAGGAAATCTAATTTATTAATTGATTAATTTAATAATTTTCGTGTACAAATAATGAACTTTGTGATGAATAAAACTTGAAGAACGTTGTTTTTAAACAGTTACATAGTTATTTCTCTAAATTGAAAAAATGCAGCATGTCTGTTAATAGTCGACTTACGTCATTTTCTATTTACGGCTTTTCTATTTTAAAGTAGTTTCTAGGCTTTTCTATACGCGGTTTTTTTTTAATTTTTTTTTCTAACAACCCGTATTACGGGTTGCTTACTGCTAGTTTATATAAAGAAACTAAATTAGCATTATTTGGTTGCACTTGTTTTGTCCGATGCTGTAAATAAGAGTATAAAAAATTTATTTATTTTAATTTTATTTATATATTATTACCAAATTTACGTTCTCGCTAGTTATTACTAATTTTTACTACGACATTGTTTTGTTTTTTTGATTTTATACTTTATGTTAATTTAATGTACTTAATATTTACGAGCGGTTCTCGATGATAAGACCTGAAGGTCTTCTGCGAGTCTCCGCGTTCTTTTTTTGTATATATTTTCTTTTATTGTTTAACGATTTTTATCTTAACTATCTTATTGTATAAACTATATTGAATATTTTTTTATTTTTTTATTTTTATTTTAATTCACCTCCTCAAGGCCGAGAAGGCCACTACAGACGAGGAGGCTACTTATTTGTGGTTATAACCCTCTCTCAACTCTATAACTCCGAAACACGAACCTTGACGAATAAGGCCGCTGCGCGGAGAAACGAGTTGAGCGCGGTACTACCAGGGACGTGGTGGGGATCGAACTCAGAACCACTCGTTTATGAAGCGAGCGCTCTACCACTACACCACTACCGCATTTAATATTCAAGGAAAGAACAAAAACAAAGAGAGATTCAATAATACTAAGGAGGCGCAATTATCAGCGGGTAGACGAATGAACAGCCCAAGGGCCTGCACAAAAAGAATCAATAAAAGAACCCCAGTCAGATTTTAAGTAGTTGCAGTGCAATAGTAGGGAATGCCTGAAAAAGAGGTACGAGATAAAAGATATAAAAAGATTATAGTATGGTTTAAACCACCTTAAGAGAAATTAAGTACAAGGTAGAATTAGGCATACAACAAATCAAAGAGTTAAAGTAAGTGATGAAAGTTATGTGGAAAACAAATCACAAAGTTAAATTTTAGTAAGTGATATCTATCTATAATATCTGAGTATGTTACCTATTTGAGTAAGTGATTGAGAAATACTAAATTAATTTATAAGTTTAGAGCTATAGTCCCAACAGGGTATGTGGTGATCCAAGTAATTCAGTATAATTAGCATTAAAATTACCAATAAAATTTTGACATGTACATTGGCACGGATAAAGAGAAAGTTATGTTCTTAGTGAACGTTTCAGTCAAGATGTTTTAGATGAACATTTTGAATAACATCATAGTTTAGAAAAAAGAAATGATAACCTTAAGATCCACCAGTTTGGTTATCAAGTAAACAATTGTTGAAGTAAAGAGTGCAGTGATGAAGTAAAGAGCTTTTTTTGGACATTTATACGGCATGTTCTTGTTGTGCTTTATTATTCTTTTTTTATGAGATCAATCAAGGCTCTGCATAAAATGATAATTTTTTTTTTTTAAGCTTATTTGGACAAAAATGAAAAAGAAATCAATTTTTGCCTTTTAGACGAGATTTAAGTTTCAATATTTTAGAATTTTGATTAAGAACAATTTTTATATATTTTTTAAATATTGAAGAATATTTTTTTAAAACAACTATTGTTTTCCATAAAGAATAAAAAATAAATTAAAAAAAATTAAAAACCTTATTTTACAATGATTTAACTGAACTTTTAACTTATTTGAGTGGTCAAAAATTTTGAGCATGTTTTTCAACAAAAAAAAAGTGTAAAGTTATACGTTTCAGTTTTAATTTTAGTTTAATGACGTGAAATTCGAAATAAATGGCATTCTTGACAAGTTAGCATCTGAATGCAATCTAGGTGTTATTTTTGATAAAAAACTAAAATGAAATATTCAAGCTAACAATTAATTTCAAATTAACAATGTAAATTTTGCCCTTTGTATGCTCAAGAAAACTTAAAAAAAAAATGGCACCCCATGAATGTTTGGCACTTACTACTTTTGTTAAAACGCATCATGAATACTGTGTGTTTGTATGGAACCTGCAATACAAAAAGGAAATAAAAGAACTTAAATTAGTTCATAAAAAAGCAAAACTAGTATCTTAGTATAAGGAGTTGAATCTCGATTAGCAAATCTGATTCACAGAGTCTAGAAGATTAAGAGGTAATCCAGCATAGAAAATCGAAAGGTGATCCAATACCTGAGACAAAAATCAAAAAGTTAAAAAATGATTTGAAGTAAGATAAGCGCTGTTCAGTTTTTTTTATTGGAAAAAATTATGGGCTAAGTCTACGTTCTCACAGGAATAAATGTATAAAAAAAGCTTATTTTTTTATTTGTCTTAAATATTTTGAGTTTTATAAATCTATAAATATCTTTAGCTTTTTTGGTCTCATTAGCTTTTTTGGTCTCAATGTCAATGGAAAGAATAATATTCTGATGTTTTTAACTAAAGGTAAGTTTAAAGTGAAATTTACTGTTAGATCCCTGGTAAGATCAATTTTTAAAACAAGTCTTGCAATCTATGAGTTTTTGTTTTATCTTTTTCTCAGTAAGCTTACTTTTCCAAGTGTTTTTTTTTGTTATTTTTTTTTTGCAACTATTTTAGAAGCTGAAAAAAAAAAACAACGCTTAATTGTAAAAATAAACTTTTACAATTAATCATTTGCATAAATTAATTTGAATTAATAAAGATTAATTCAAATTAGTTTTATGATTTGATGATGTTTATAGGCCCTCAGTCCTATGCCAAGTGCTGGATTAAGGTATGGGGGGCTTGGAACTATAGCCCCGAGTCCCGCACCCTGATTCAAAATAAAAGATTTTATTAAAAAAAATTCTAAAAATAAAATCATTGGTCATAAAAAAAAGTTCTTTTCCATGTCATTGGTGAAAATCAATTTTCATTAATGACATGGAAATGAAATGAAAATCAATTTTCAATGACATGAAAATCAATTTTTACCAATGACATGGAAAAGAGCTTTATGCTTTAAAATAGCTCCTAGCACCCGAAAATTTTTAATCCACCACGGCCTGGATGCTAGGTCAGTTTTTTACCAATCACAATTTTACTTGACCATATATTTGTTTTGTTTATCATTTCATTTTCAGGCGTTCAAAATACCCGTAAAATTTTTTGTCGTTATCATTTCTTTTTCTAATATTACTTCTTTTTATGAAATTTCGTTGGTCACGGCATCTATTAGGCCTATTAGACAACCTTGGTTACTATTAATGCGACAGCCCTGTGTACAATTGATAAGACAACTCTGGTTACCTAGAGTTTGTTGTATATATAAAAAAATTAAAGACAACTGGAAACAACACAGTTTAAATAAGTTTAATTTTTTAAAATGGGATTAATACTCTTTAATTAAATTGAAGACGTCATCGTTTCACGGTCGTTTACATCGTTTACATCGTTTTACGGTCGTTTAGACGTCTTACTGATGTCTGTGCCCGTACCACACTGAGCCTATGGTGGACAAAATCTTTTTTTTTTTACTTAAACCCTTTATATGTTCAAAAAATCACTTTGTATTAAGATATATTTAATTTTATTAAAAATTATAGTTAAATAGTTGCTCATACTAAAAATTATTTAACAAACTTTATGAAATTTTAAAAACACGGATTTATAGTTATTTAATTTCAAACCCTATAACTTTTTGAAATCGTGGAACTAAATAACAAACTCTTCTGGTGAAATAAAGCTAAAGAAAATAATTGATGCAACAAACTTTAAAAATAAAAATGCGCTTCAGAAAAAATTAAAATTTATCATTAGATTTGAAACTCTATTACCGATATTATTATATCATAGATTTAAAATATTTAGATAAATATATAGAAATATATAGAAAATATAAATAAATATATAGGTTTGAAACTCTATTAATGATAGTATTATATGTTCACGACGTTTTGAATAATCTGTAGATTATTTATTATCTTTATATATAATGATGTATTTTTTTTATTTTTAATCTATTGGTGCAAAATCTGGATAAATAATATTACGTTTTTATTATTTTGAAGTCTACTGAATTCTAAAGGTACTATGCAAATAATCAACAGGCACTCTTCATTCGCCGCTATTTTCATTTTAACTTATTTTTAAACACTATATCCTGTAGCACCATTAAAACCACCCTTGCATCTAAAAGTGATTTTAATTAATTCCTTAGCATTGTGATTAGCACTATAGTTTGTATACCACATAGCTTTTTAAGAGTGTGTTTTAGAAGTTCTTTTAGCAGTATTTGTACTGATTATTTGTGCCAATTTTGTACTTAAACTCACTTCTTAGTTTCAATTTTGTTGCATGAAGTAATTTATGGCTAAATAAAATATTAATAACATTGTTATTCTTATTGCTCTGTTTCAAACTTTTTCAAAACATGGTTTCCCAACTTCATTAACTGATGAATCATCAGTGATAATGTAGCATTTAATGTACCGTAGGTATATTGAAAATCTTGAGCTAGCAAATTTTCATTACTTCTCTCAAAATGAGTATTATCATTGTTTGCAGCTACAAATTTTTACCTTATAATTAATAAAGTTTTTAACTCAGAATCGTAGTTTAATATCTCCAGTAACTAGAACAGTTAATTTCGACGAAAAGAATCGTATATCATTAGGAACTAGTTTTTTTTTGTCGTATAAGTCCGTAAATGTCACCAATTTTTATATTATTACTAACCAAAAAAACAAAATTTTTTTTTAGGTAAACAGTGCAATTTGTATTGAATTAAATAACAAACAAAATAACATGTATTTTTGTTTACGAGAAATAAAAGTTGATTTCAAGCAAATAACATAAGTTACAAACTCGTTATTTTAAAATGTTAAAGAAACCCAAAAGGGGAAGTTAGGGGCAATGTATATAGTTCAAATAGGTTGTATATGAATTACATTTACTAGTTCAAGTATTTAATATAGGTTCTCGTAGGTTCCCTAAATTATGTGACACTTTTTGTTCAAAACAAAAGTACTAAATGTTAAAAATTTACCTCGTTATTTTAATGCCAAATTATAAGTGTATTATAAAGGCTGATCTTTACTTTATATTTTTTTTGTAAAGCTTTACTGTTAAATAGTTTAAATATATAAACTAATTACGTTAAAAAGCTGATAAAATTTTAAAAGTTACTGTTTACTATATTTTCACGCTTTTTTTTTTTAATTTTTTTTTTAATTATACACGAAACCGCAACTAATTTTTGTGGTTTTATAAGATGCTATTATACTCAAAACAATATTCAAAATTTTAAATGAGAGTATTACAAATATATTTTTATATGGTTTTGAATATAATAAATATTTATTTTTTAGGTTTTGTCCACCACCTGGCCCACTGTGAACCGTTAGGTTTTAGGCCTTTTTTTAAAAAGGTGCTTACTAAAATAAAAAAGGTTCACAAAACTAAGACTCTGCCGACCAACCAATAATCGCCTTCTTTGAGAGCGTGTCATACCTTCTTCTCCCCTTTGCCTCATCAAGTACCTCCTCTCTCCCCCCTCCCACACACACACACTGATATACCCACGCCACCACCCCCATAGAATGATGTGGGGGAGGGGGAAATAAGGGGTATACCTACTCAATGGGGAGATATGATACCTCCTCAATGAAAGCAATTGGTTATGAGGAAGGAGGCGGGGAGGGAGGAGGGGGAAGAAAGGTATGATAATATATAGTAGTTTAAAGTTAAAGTAGTTTAAAGTTAATATATAGTAGTTTTACTATTATATATAGTAGTTTAAAGTTAATATATAGTAGTAAACGGTAAAATATAGTAGTTTAAAGCTAAACTAGTTTAAAGTAGTTACAGTTGCATAAACCGCAAGTTATATTCCCGCAACATCTATGTTCCCGCAACATCTATATTCCCGCAACATCTATGTATAAAAAATGAGACATTTTTTGAATTTTTTTTTATTTGCGTTTTTTAATCGAAAGTTTATTAAATTTAGCAAAAAATAAAAATAATAAACGTTGAGTTTTTTATACATTGAAATTTTCATATAAGCAAAAAAAAAATTAATAATAAAAGCAAAAAAAAAAAGGAAGAAATTAGGGACATGAGTGGTGCATTACATAAATTGCGAGATTAAACCTCTATCATTAGTTAAGATTTTTTTTTTTTTTTTTTTAATTTTTTTAACTGTTTTTTTTTTTTCCACTTGATTTTTTTTTAAATTTAAATAGAGTGAGTTAAAATGTTTGTTTGGAAATATAAAATCAAGCCGAAGGAATTTGTAATGTTTATCTAAAACTTGTATTTGGCATGTTTTCTTTGCTTTTGTTGTAATCTACGTGCCAGTTAAAGCCTAATGAAAACGTCGTAGTATTTCAAATTTGTTTTACTATTTTTAAATTTAACAATAAACTATTATTATTAAAATAAATTGTCTTTAAACTATTCAACGATTAACTGTTTTGTTCTATTTAATAAACATTTTGTTGAATACAAATTTAATAGTTGAATAAATAGGTAATTTAGTATAATTTATATCTTTTTTACACAGGTTTCCCTAGTTTTAGGTTTAAAATATTATATATTATTTTGGCAATAATTGTTTCCGAAAAATAACTTTTTTTAAAAAAAAAAAAACCTGATTATAAGAAATAACTGTTTTAAAAACGTGTTTATGAACACAATGAATGTGTTGTTTTTAAAGATATAATAAAATAATATATTTTCAAAATACTATTATTTACAATGCACATTGTATTTCAAGAAATTTGCAGTCAATAGAAATGTTGTAAAAACAATCAAGAAAACATTGTTTAAAAAAAAACTGCCTATTGATTGAACCATTGTTTTACTTTAAATTGAATCTATATTTTATTGTTAAATAGTGCATTTTCCCAATATGTGTGATACTTTGTTTTGTTAATTACAATAAGTTAAATGAATAAAAACAATAAATTATCAGGTTTATTTTTAATTTTTAATCATTTTTAATTTCAATTTGTATTGTTTTTAATTATATTTTATACTCTTTTAGTGTTTTAATTTATGAATCAAAAGAAAGTTTTTCCTCATACTGATAATGTTTTTTGGAAAAAAGAAAATTTTACTATGCATAATGTGATGCTAGATTTGCCAAACCCAGAACCTAAAAAACTAATTAACTCCACTCCAATAAAAGCAGAAAAGAAGCATTTAAAAAGTAAATTTATTACAAAAATTGAATCATCAAAACCAATAGTTCAAGTTTCTTCTACTGAATTATCTAAACCTCTGGTTCAAATATCTTCCACTAATATTAGTTCTGAGCTAAATAAAAAAGAATGTACCTTGAAAGATCTGTGTAAAGAAGATAAAATTAAGGTAATTTATAATTTTATAAAAGTTTTAAATTTTTCAAATTTTTTTCTCTCTAAGTCCTTTAAGTTTTTGTGTTTAGATAACAAATTTAATAAAAGAACTTGCAAAATATGGTGAAGAAAAAGAAAAGGCTTTAGAAGAATTGCAAAATATGAAGAAAGACTTTGAAGAGAAACTTCAAATACTTGATAAAGAAAAGCAAATATCAATAAGAGATCAAATTGTATTAAAAGAAAAGTTGTTAGAATATGAGTTTAGCAAAAAAAATGAAATCAATTTGGAGGAAAAAAATAATGCAAAACATACCTCATTTTGCGAGTCTGATATTTCCGAGATGTCCAATATTAAAAACGACCTAGAAAATGTACAAATGAATATAGTGCATAAGAGAATAAATGTTATGTTACCTGATGAAAACACTTTAGCAGATATTTTTCATGAACAACAGAAACAATTTGAATTGCAACAAAAACGTCTTCAAGATCAGATTGAACAGTTACAAAAACTTCAAGAATCTGTTGTTGTACACCAAATCAATACAAAAGCAAGAATTCAATCTATATCACCAATTTTCAGAAAAGAAACTGAAGATAGACCATTGAAATGTGCAACTGGCTTAGATTTAACTCTAAAGGAATACCCAATTGTAAGAAAAAACAAACTTGATGAATACTTAATAAGCCAAAACAAGATAAACAATTTAATTAGTGATAGCATGATAAAAATGCATGAAAAAATTAAAGGTCATTATGTACCAAATGATTCCCAAACTAATTATTTCAATAAAAACTCTGAAGCATCTTCATTGATTTCAGCAAGTACATCTCCAGTCAAAGATAAAAAAGAAATTTCTATACAGACTGATATTCCAATTGAGAACACCTCATTAAAATTAAAAGATTCTACAAAGGTAAATCTTTTAA